AGAGAGAGAGAGAGAGAGAGAGAGAGAGAGAGAGAGAGAGAGAGAGAGAGAGAGAGAGAGAGAGAGAGTCGTACTTGCTACACAATACGCTGAAGAGACACGAACTCAGAACTGTGAATACCAATCAAAACAGAAGTTCAAATAATACCAACGATCATGATTATATGTCATCTACAATACAATATCACAGAAATATATTCAAATAATGATCTGGAAGTACCTGGGCCGGTCACCTGCGGATATCTCTCTAGACTGTCACCCCTCTAAAATAAATAAAGAAATAAAATGGCATTCTCCTGAATCTGAGAGGAGCTGTTTATGTCTGATCGATCGTCTTGTACTGAGCAGTGAGTTCTTCTACTGCTATCTCCGTCACTCCGTTGGAGCTTCATTTTTCAAGGGCCCAAGGCCCAAGGGGTGCTTGGCATCTCATTAATTTCAGACTTTCAGTCCTGTAAAGGGGTCTTCGACTCTTCGTCGAAGCCTGCCTAAATGTCTGAATAATGGTCTCGTTCCACTACACAACACACTACTACGTGCATTTGGACGCTTCGGGGACCAGGTACATTCAAAATGTTGGACTCGTCAGAATGCACCTGGTGCTGAAAGCGTCCACGTGGATGTAGAGTGATGTGTAGTGGAGCGAGGCCCTAAGATATGGACAGTTCTAAAGGCCTATTAAGTGCTCTTCGTTTTTTTTTCGTTTTTTAACCCGTTTTAACTTACTGCTTCCTGATTTTTGTAATTTTTTTTTTCCCGTTTATGGCATTGTGCAAGGAATATGAGAGAGAGCGATAGACAGAAATCCAAGTTGCAAAATCACGAAGTCGTAGGCCAGAGAGTCATGTACCAAGCAGAGAGCACAATGCACCAAGATTCCATCCAAATATTAAGAATTTAAGACCAATACAATGAACTTGAGTTCCATTGCCGACCCTCTCTGGTCACACGAACACTGTAATTAATGCCGCCCCTACTGTCTGGCGTCCAGCGCCCAGCCTACTCTACTCAGCCAATATATAGTATCTACGTTCTGTGACTGGAGCGCATCGAAGTCAAAGACCAACGTACTTTACGTCGACACCAATGCCGACCACCAGCATACACCAGGTGGGTTCTCTCTCCTCCCCTCATCACACCTTTATCCCCACTCTCTGCATGCGCCTCCTACCCGGAGACTACCATCGCCATCGCCTGCCTGCGCCCCTGCAGCCCGGCTATGGCTGCTGTGCGCCCTCTGCCTCAGCAGCGCCCCTCACCTCAGCGCCCCCCGTGCACGCTTCCGACCAGCAGCGCTCGTGCAGACACTAGTGCAGCAATGCAGCAGCGTGTCCCCATTGCCTACCAAAGGCCAGAATGCCCTCGCATGGTGCACACACTTTCCTAATATATGGAAAGGGTCTGCTGCTGGGGCTGGCCTCTCCAGGCTTGTGGGGGGCCCAGTAGCTTGCCTCTGGCCCCAAGTGTCTGCGCCCAGGCCGAGTTTCCAATACTGGCCTGGGCCTCGTGCAGTTAGGCAAGTTCAGGCAGCCACCCAGCCTCCAAGTCTTTGCCCCATTCTCATTTGCTTGCGTCCAGCTTGTGATGTGTCGGCCTCACACAGCGTGTGCCCAGGGCGCAACCACCTGAGCCCTGGGCTCAACTGTACAGCGCAGCCCTTTTGCTTCTGGAAAGAGCCCGGAGGCTCACGTTGCTCTGTAACCAACTGGTGTGCTGCAACTGTTCGAGTACCCACATATGGAAAACATGTCAAAAACAGGCCTCATGTGGATAATATTCAGGCACCTGAGCCCTGGGCTCAACTGTACAGCGCAGCCCTTTTGCTTCTGGAAAGAGCCTGGAGGCTCACGTTGCTCTGTAACCAACTGGTGTTCTGCAACATATGGAAAACATGTCGAAAACAGGCCTTGTGTGGATAATGGCTCACCTTCACTTAGGGCGGGCACAGGCTTGCTAGGGGCTGCAGCCCAGACACTTGTATGTCTGAGAAAAGCCCCGTGAGGGCTCGTTCTCACAAATATTTCCTCACAATATGTGTAATAATAATCATTCGAATTTACTACTGTCTTCCCCGAACATAACCCATATGCGTTGTAAAAAGTACAGTACACAGGTTGCTCGTGCGTTTTACTCGAACAGCCCTTCACTTTGAATACAATGCATATGCGTTCTATTCGAATCATTGATTTTTTTCTTCGAAAACTTGAATACAACGCGTTCGAAAACTTGAATACAACGCGTTATATTGTTGAATACAACGCGTTGTAAACGTGAATACAACACGTTATATTGTTGAATACAACGCGTTCGAAAACTTGAATACAACGCGTTATATTGTTGAATACAACGCGTTCGAAAACTTGAATACAACGCGTTATATTGTATGTTCGGGGGAAGACAGTAGTGGTTTTAAAAGGACAGTCAAATGACATGGAAAGCCAACACCGGGTAGAGGCCCCGGTGTTCGGTTAAAGGGTATTATTAAGCTCGGTAACCATATTGTACATGAGATGCTGGCCCTGCTTTCCAGCAGGTGCTCTTCCCCACCAATAGACTGGCATCAGGTTGCAAGTGGAAAGTGCTCTTGCCACCTACACTAGCTAACCGAGGCCGGGATTTCCACAAAAAAAAATAGAAAAATAAAAAGAGCCATATTTAATTTGCTTGGTCACCTTGGGAGGGCCTGTTTGCTTGTTTTTTGTCTTTAACCTTCTTGGCATGCTCTCACATCTTTTCTTCTTTTTTTTTCGTATGTCTGGTCTGTGTTGGTCATACTAGGTGCTGAAGATCATCTTCTATCTACGAAATGGATAAGCGGGGGGTTCCTGAGCAGAAGCGGGGGGGTCCTGAACTGAGTGTGGGGTCTGTTGAAATGAGCAGGGGCGGGGGCTCCGAAATGAGTAGCGAGCACGCCGAGCAGTGCATAGTCAAAGTGACAGAGTTGTTGGCCAGTCAGGATGGACGCGGTTGTCAAATGACGAGGACAAGTCCTGTCGCTCAAGAAGGACCCACATGGCAGCACTTACTCGTGGTGGTGGTCATTGCCACACGGAACCGACTCCGTTTGCTCCGAGATCACGCCCTTCTGTCAATCGCGAAACAGATCCAGTGCCCGACAGCGGTGGTTGTGGTGAATGACTCAAATCTGGACTCGGTGGAGCAGGTTGCAGCAGCCGTTGCCGACGTGTTTCCAGGAGCCTACAGCATGGCTCCATATGAGAGAAGAAGAGTGGCTGGCACCCTCCCCAATCCCTTCCCAGTGATGGTCACTTTCGCGGTCATTGCCAATTCCCGCACGCCCGGCGCAAGTGGTGCCTGGAACACGGGCATTAGTTGGGCTGCAAACTTTGCTCATGTATGCCACCAGCCGTGGGAGGCAACCTTTGTGGCCTTCCTTGATGACGATGATGAGTGGGAACCGCATCATTTGGCAAGCTGCGTTGCAGCGGTGCAGCAGACGGGGGCACAGCAAGTTGTTCCGGGAGTGATCCGTGTTGCCACCTCAGGGTGTGGAGGAGACGGAGGCAGTGAAATTCACCGCCAGTCGATCCCAGCAGTCGATGCTCTTTGTACGCGCAGCAGCTTTTACATCAGAAATCCACATATCCAGGCAAGCAACTTATTTGCGAGTGTGGCCCTCCTCGCTCGTGCAGGATTGTTTTGCGAGGCTCTATCTTCGACGACGGACAGAGACCTCATGGCTCGTATTTCCGCGCTGCCATTCCAATATGTGGGCTTTATGCCTCTGACTGGTCCTGAGCCCTGGACGGTGCGGCACTATGCGGAAGCTGAGCGAACGGATCGACTCTCAACGTATGGCTGCCCTGCAAAGGCTGAAGGTCTGCGCACCTTCTTCTCCATTCATGGCCCGTCCATGACGGAAAACGAACGCGCTGCATTCCTCCAGCATTCAAGAGAGATGTTTGGGGTGGATCCTCTTGCCTCCTCAGCGGCTGGAGGGTCGTCATCGAGGACTGTGGCGAGCATGACTCGGACTGCACAAGAAGGAACAACAGTGCTAGGCCAGGCAGCAGAAGAGTGCATTGTGGCGAGCGCGGCTCGGATGGCACCAGAAGGAACAACAGAGCTTGGCCAGGCAGCAGAAGAATGCATTGTGGCGCAAGAAGGAACAACAGTGCTAGGCCAGGCAGTAGAAGAGTGCATTGTGGTGGGCACGACTCGCATGACACAAGAAGGAACGACAGTTCTAGGCCAGGCAGCGCAAGAGTGTGTTGCAGCAACACCACAAGGCAGATCAGATGAAAAACTACCATCTAGTGCCACTGGCGGTACTGCATCAAGCAGTACATTATTGAGTCGGGAGAGGACACCGGGCAGGGCTGCATCAGCTCAGTCTGGATCTAGGACAGCCGCTCCAAACCCTGAAGCAAGGACTGTAAGCGGGAGTAAATGGACTGGGGCAGATGCATGCCAGGCGACCACCCCTCTTCCAATCATCGTCGGTGTTGTTTCCGATAAGAATGATGGAGAGACTATCAGACAGCTTATTCGGGACATGGCACGAATACAACGGGAGGGAACCAATCCCATTGTACAGCTCTTTGTGCTGGTATTGGAGAATGGATGGACAGCAGAGCATCAGCTCAGGAATGGCAGGTGCGATAGTCCTCCAAGTGCTCTTGCCGATGCTGTGTACCAGGAGGCTGCAGCTGGTGCAATTGCAGCCACGGTTATCACCCCAGGCATGATAGCAAGTGATGTTCGTGATGGACTGCTGCCACCTCTGGACGAAGTGATGATGACGTCTGTCGCCCTTGGAGATAACCACCCAGGACCTTTTCGCCTATCCATTGCAACGATGCGAACTTTGTTGCAATATTATGCGTATATGGTTGCATCCGATATCAAGTTGTGCTTCGGTTTGCCTCACTTGCCCAGACAGGACTCTGGTGGGCCCTCTGAATCCGGTTTGGGAACCGGTGCTTTCTCTGTTTCTCCTGCCTTGCTGACTGGGCCGGTTGTATGGATCCTTGATGATGATAAGGACTTGAGCCCGCTGGTGATTGATGTGGAAGGCAATAATTATTCTAGTAGCAGGGACATGTCTCATGTGACTGGAAAGCTTTCGAGACATTGGGCAGGCAAAGATTTCGTTCCCCGTGCCTTACGCATTCACCATGCAACAGGTGCAGCCGCAGTCATTGCAGTCGACACGGGAGCGCCACCTGTGCCAAGTCTGAGTTGTCTTCGAGTTCAGCTGGTTGATGTGCTTGCGTTGCTGCAAGCGGCTGCTGCATGCGGCAGCGGGGAGTGTTTGTTGCCGCAGTGCTCGGATGTGCGCACAGCGATGTGCCTCACACCATCCTTCGCTGCGTCCTGTGCCGATCAGGGGCAGCAAGATTGGTACCACGACTTGTCGAATGCAAGGAGTGACCACCTGGAAGTGCCGTGTTGCCCGATGTGCATGCTGCGAACAGCCTGCTGGGGCATGTTCAATGGGAACAGGGAAGATGGCAGCGGGGAGTCAGCTGGCACCGCCTCTGAGTCCTCAAATGTAACGACTTTGCAGGCATCTCTGGTACCGGTGCGACCAGGTTCAACAGCCACAGATGCACTGAAACTAGCTGCTCAAGTACTGACTGCCATTGGCAGTGGTGCTATGGTAACACGCCCCTTGGCGGTTCCACCTCCTCCACATGACTCCGGAACTCCGTGTGGAGTGGACCGAACCCATCCATCTGTCCTGCGAGGCGGATGTACTTTGGTGTTTGACCTTGATGCACTTAGGGATGTTCCCAACGTGGCGCCAGTGGGTTTGTCGGGCAGGACAACTCGCCGGTCGGACATGATGTGGTGTCTTCTGAACCGTGAGCTTCATGGACGACACATTGTTCAAGCACCACTTCTGGCGGTGTATCACCGCCGAGGGAACATCGTAAACAACCCAAAGGAGGAAAGCGGTACCTTGCTTTCCAGTGCCTTGGACGTTCTAGCTGATGACATCCTTGGGCATGCTACCTTTATGGCACTGCGAGGTGCGTTTGAGACTGCGCCACATTCTACTTCACAGACTCTGAGCGAATCTTCTGTCGGATGTGACAGTCATGATCCTGAAAATGGAGGTCACGGCCTCGGTGGGAGTGGAAGCACTACACTGCATGGAATTGATGAACTCTGCTGCAGTGGATCTCCTTCACCAGCTGCGCTTCTTACCCCCGCTCAGGAGGATGAATTCGTCAAGTCGTTCCATTTTCATCTCAGCCGGCGAAGCTTGGCAGCCCAGTTGTCTGCTGCTCGCATAGTTGGCTTGCTACAAAGCATGAGAGAGCTATTGAAGCCTGCAGAATCGGTGGTGGCTTCTCAAGAGTCTCAGAGGAGGAATGAGGAAGCGATCAGCACATCAGGACGGGCCTGGTGGGAGTCTCTGCCTGAGGCAAAGTTGGTTCTGGAGAAGGTAGAAATGCTCGCAGCAAAACTACAGCTGGATGTGCTTTGGCCCCAACATGCTGGTGGAGGCCTTGGGGACCGTGGGGCCACTGCAACTGCAGCGGCGTTACCACTAATGCTTGATCCACCTGCCGATGAAGAGCTGCGCGCATGGGTCCGTAGCTTGCCAGGACGCAATATGCCGCCTCTCTTCCATCCTGGAGAAGATGTCTGCCGCAGTGTTTGTGACCGTCTACGCAGCACTGCAGCACGCCCTCTATTGGCATACTCGCTTCGTGAGCTGGGCGATCACGATGTTGCCGCCACAGCCACTCTGGTTGGTGTTGGTAGTGAAGGCGTAACGTTCTGTATACCACCCCAACCCCCAGTACTGGTAGTTGATGATCGGTGCAGGTCAGATGAGCAGGACCGTGACAGTCCTCACCTGGTCGGCAACGCTGACAAAGAGCGGAGGGTTGCATGCAAGGTCATGGACATGTTTGCACTGCGGGCGCAGAGAGGAGATTGGTCCTGGCTAATGGAGGTAGCGGCTGAGTGGAGTCGCACTCTCGCCTGCACAAAGGGCCTGCCAGGTGCATCTCACCTGACACCTGCAATATGGCCGCTGCTGAAACTAAAGGGCTTCATCCCTGTGGGGTCGCATGTGCCCATCCTGGCTCGAGAGTACCTTCAAGGGGCTACCTACAGTGGCGGCCTTGGCCCACAACTTATAGCGCTCCTTCGTTCTATGAGGCTTGCAAATGTTTGCTGCAAAAATATCAGCCCGGAAAACCTGCTGGTTGTAGAGGACAATTATGGCCAAGGCAAGGCTGGTGCCTCAGACTTGGAGGAGTCCATCTGCAAGGATGATCAGAGTCGTCGGTTGGATGACCACACCCCACGACTATCCCCTTCCTTGGTGCTGTTGGACTATGGGTTGGACATTGTCCCGTACACTCCGGCTCAGTTTCGCATCTGCTCCCTTCGAGCTTTCCTATGCTGGCGGTGGTCCGGTGTGAAGCCCACCCCTTCAGTCAAGGCCCTGCTCAGTGCCACAAGAGGACTGCTAGAGCCTAACGGATTGTTTTGTGAGGCTAATCTCCCGGAGGCTGCAGGTTTCTGGCAATTTGAACGAGCCTTGGAGGATGACGCCGGTGAATTGGAAAGGAGGATGTCTCTCCGAGTCAATGAGTGCGTCATGTGTGGCTGGCCGGGGCTGCGACCTCCGCCTCGTAGTATACTAGACTTTGGATGTGGTCCATGTTGTATGCTGCTGACTCGTGGTACCAATCATGGGGGAATGGTGTCTGTGCCAACCGATCGCATCAGGGCCTTTCCCCTGCAGATTGTTGGGTATGACCCTGAGATATCTCTACGGGAACGATGGGAGAAATCGGCTGCAGAGAAGGCTGTTGGGTCGGCGAAGTATGATGTGAAACCAGAGTTCGTGTTTGTGTCAGATCGGCAGGCTGTGCTTGACTTGGCAGCGAAGAATGGAGGATTTCAGTCGATCTTATGCAGCCGTGTCCTGTGCACTCTGCCTGCAGGCTCCCCCTCTGAAGAGAGTTTGCTTGAGGACTTGCGCAAGTGCCTTGCACCACATGGAGTGCTGTACCTTGCAATGTGCCATCCTGATGCAAACAGCACTGCATACACAAACATGCAGGCCCGTTGTGTCGAGGAGAGACTCAGTGGTGTTGGCTCTGTTGAGGGAGGTCCTTCAATGCTGCTGCATAAACGGCATGGTTGCTCTAAGTCGGCTCGTTCTAGGAAAGACTACCATCGGCCTCTCCATGTGCTACTTCGCACTCTGCGGTCACATGGTTTTGGCGTAATAGCCCAGCGCACTGCAGTTACAGGTGTTGACTTGCAACGATTTGAGACGGTTCCGGAGGTGCTGCTTCTTGCATGCACGCATGTGGAACATTACAGTCCCAGCAGCAATCTCCCATCCGGGCCAGCTGTAGTAGAACCTGGCCCGCGGCCGCAGCAACCTGTTGTTCATCATAATGCGCCAACTGCAGCCCTGCTCATCAAGTTGTGCGCCATGGAGTGGCAAACGCTAGTGGGACGCGTCAGACACTTGGTGTCCTCGTTAGAGGGACCACACGCCTTTGCCGGAGGCATCCATGTTGTGCTTGACCGTAGAAGCTCTGATTTCCCTCGACCGCATGGCATGGCATGCAGCTGGGAGACTCTTCTGGCCTTGGCGGACGACCTCAAGTGCAAGGGCTGGATTGAGAGTGTTCTGGTCCCGCCAGAGGATGAGGTAAGTGTATCAGCACTTCTTGGTCGGTGGTTTGGCTCGGCGTCCGTGCAGTGGTCGACCTCCACTCATGCCAGCAACGGTTCGCCATTGGTAAGCACCTTGTATGCCTTTGAAGAGCTGTGCTATAGGCATCAGGTACAGGTGGTGCTGCAGGTCGATAGCGACTTGATGATCCGGCGAGGTGGCCGCTCTCGTTCCAGCTTGGCAGGGTCTGTGCTCCCTGCATATCTTGCTGCTGATGGGAAGGGCTACCAACCCCCTGACTATCTGCAACCTGCTATTGCCCTTCTGACCAGCGATGATGGTGCACTCACCCTTGCTCTGCCCATCGTGCCACGTCACGATCACTCGGAATTCATTCCGTACTCGTGTGGCACAACAATCGGAGGTGTGCTGGAGGGTCGAGTTCACTGGGATGGCGATGAGAGCTGTGCTTATGCAAGTCCTCCGGCGCATGCTCGTCCATGGCGAGTAGAGGTGCGTGGATGTTTCATGCACCTACCTAGACTGATGTCCCTCCGCCCACTGCCTACTGAGATGGAAAGTGCGGGACCAGCAGCTACACACATTCCGCCTGTGAAGGCATTGCCTGAGGTGCAAGTGGTGGGACCTCCGCCCTGGTACCGTAGTGTTGACCTGGCTATCGAGCGCTCAGCAGGTGGCCTGCGGTCGTACCGTGGTGGAGATGCGGCTGCAATGTGCTTTGTTCACCCACCAAATGACCTCAAGCAGGATCCAGGCATCTACGGCCAGATTATAGATGTGGTTGAGCGCAGCGCAGTTCTGCCCTCCAGCATCGCAGGTTGTGTGGATGCTCCGGTTGCAACATGCTCTTCGGATTTGACACAGTGGCTTTCACCGCCACCTGGTGCAACATCAGAGGTGCGGCCAGAGGCCAGTTCATGGTGGAGAGTGGAAGACTATGTGTTTATCGTTGCAGGATGGCGTGTTCCAGCTGGTCGCGTTGCACGTTGCCTGGAGTCCCTTTGCATTCAAAAGGTTCCCGAAGGAGTGACATGGGGGGCGGTTGTTGTTTGGGATCATGACCACAGTCCCCACGACAATAACATTGCCAATGATGATGATGATGATGGGACGGGTGTTGCTGCAAAGCACGACATGCAGAGAAGCCGGTTATCTAGTAGGGTATGCTGCTGGCAAGACACACTAGCCTATGTGTCACATATGGTTGAAGGTGGCGGCATGCCACGACTGCGTGGCCGATGTACACTACTCATGCCTCGTGTCCGTCGAGGTATCCTGGCAAACACCATCACGGCTATTCGCCAATTGTGTCGAAGACCCACTTCGGTGATCATCTTGCTAGATCTTGATGATGCCCTGATTGGCGATGATGTCCTGGAAGTTGTCCACAATGCATTTGCACGGGCTGGTGTTGATGTTTTTGCTGGAGGCGGCATGAGGACGGACAAACCTGGTCGCAGCAGCAAAATAGGTGAGCCAACATATCATGTCAATTTCACTGATCTGCCCCGAGGGCCTGCATCCAGGGGCGGTTGTGTCTGGTCCCACCTGAGGGCTGCTCGCAAGGTGCTATTTGATCGGGTGAAAGAGGGAGACCTGAAGGCCAGCGACGGTGAGTACTGGCACTGGGCGTCGGACTGGGCACTCATGCTTCCGCTCGTGGACATGGCCTGGCGTGCCGCTCAGCCTCTGCGAGCCCTCTACTTCCACGAACCTGCAACTCCAGCTTCTGCTGAAACAGTGCGGGCTCGAGAATGCGCCATTGCCGCACTAGTCTCCCAGCCATCCTACGCAAAGCTAGTACCTGTGGTAGCAGTGGTGGGTGATGCTAGCTATGGGCGAAGGCAAGAGGTGACACCAGCAGATGTGATCAGAGGAATCTTGCCCGACCGTGCGAGCACAGCGAAGACCCTGGGCACTGTCTTGGCAATGCGAGGATACCGGGTGTTATCTGGTGGTATGGGTGGAGCAATGGAGGCTGTGTCGCTCGGGACATCCTTGGCGGTCACACAGACTGGAATGAGGGATGTGGAGGACCTTAGGGATCCAAGCGATGACCTTGCTGGTGCAAGCCCCCAAACGCAGACTCGGATGGGCCTGAGCGATGCAGAAATCTTGTCGACCAGTGGCTCAACGTGTCCCATCAGTGTGCAGCGTTGTGGTACAAATGCGCTGGTGTCTTGTGCGCCTTTCCCAGCTTCGGCTGCAGCATGCATTGGCCTTCTACCTGGAAGGTCGCCCTTCACGAGCAACCCATGGGTGGGCATGCCGCTGCCCACGGACATGGGACATGGGCGCAACAATTTGGTTGCGACTGCGGCAGATGCCATTGTGATTATTGGCGGTGGGGCTGGTTCGCTGCATGAAGCAGCTGTGGCATGGGAACAACACCGCCTCGTCATAGCGATGGTTGGAACCGGTGGCACTGCTGATTTATTAGCAAATCGCCGCATTGACGAGCGGCGCAGGCTCCACGGTCTTGCAGCGAGGATGGAGCAGCAAGCTTCTCAACAGGGAGATAAGTGGGGAGTGGACCGTGTTTATGGTGTGCATACGGTGGATGAAGTAGTGGATGTTTTGGAGCGCCGTTTACACTGGTATAGGCTGGACTTTTTGGAAAGAGAAGTGGGAGACGGAGGACGATCAGCAATTACCGCTGGAGTCTTTTAGAGCAGCAGAGGCATGTGCATAGGGTGGATGAAGTAGAAGACATTTTGGAGCGCCGTTTACACTGGTATAGGGTGGACTTTTTGGAAAGAGAAGTGGGAGGAGGAGGACGATCAGAAATTAACGCTGGAGTCTTTTAGAGCAGCAGAAGCATAGCCTGCGTTATAAGGTCTTTTTTTTTTCCTTCTTTTTTGTAAGCACTAGTAACTCTGCCGGCGTTAGGAACTAGTACCTCCGCCAGTGTTAGGAAAATAGTTAATACTGGCATCCCTAAAACGTCGGGTGCTGGGCCCGGCGACGGCCGCCGTTAATCTCATTGGCGGCCATCGTTTCGTTTCAGCCTTCTAAAAGATCGGAGGCCCACCCGAGGCCTCCCTGTTTTCACCTCCGCCGGTGTTGGGAAAATAGGGAAAACTGGCATCCATAACTCCTGAAAAGCTGGGGGCTGGGCCCGACAATGGCCGCCGTTAATCTCATCGGCTATCCTTTCGTTTCGGCCTTCTAAAAGATCGGAGGCCCACCCGAGGCCTCCCAATTATCCCAACCGGCAGACCGGCGGAGGTACTAGTGTTTTAAGGAGGTAAAATCACTTTCTTTATATCCTTAACCCTTCTGTTTATCTTTTTAACCTAACTATGTTGTTACCCATACCAAACTTGACCAAAGCACATTACCCCTATTGCTGTTGTCCCTCCACCATTGCTCCCCGATCTGTCGTAGGAAGCATCGGTCTTCGATGGCCAAAAGGAAGAGGGACAGGGTGGACGATCGGCAACGACTGTTGGAGTCTTTTAGAGGTTGAGAGAACTTGAGGCCAAGCATTCTTTTGTACGCAGGCGAAACCACTTCTCCGTTATCATATTCTTATAGAACTGTTTTGTTATATAAAGCAAAACCTTTTTGATATCCCCCCAGCGTTGCTCCCCAGTCCACGAGGGAAGCATCAACCATCAACGACCACTGCAGAAAAGGCCGATCTTGACGCTAGGATCCATCACAATGCTTCTGGCATGTCTGTCATGCATACCGCGTACAGCCCAACCGGTGTGTTTGACTGGTGAGGCCACGTGCGGTCGATGAAGCATCCACCGATGTGACGATGAACAGCTGGATGGATGGAGGCTATGGCAGTTGATGCCCCTGTGAGGCGAGCCAAGCTGTACATGGGGAATGCACGCGATGACAGCTCTGAGTTGAGTCGATACTGTTTCTCTCCTCACCCAACCCTTTTCCTCTGCATGTTCTCTCTCTCTCTCTCTCTCTCTCTCTCTCTCTCTCTCTCTCTCTCTCTCTCTCTCTCTCTCTCTCTCTCTCTCTCTCTCTCAATACCTTCTTTTCTCTTCTGAGAGGGTCCCTTTCCGTCACAGTTCTTACCGTATCTGCCACGATCGTTTTACATTTTTTTTCACAGAAATTGAAAAAGGGGAGGGTACATGATCTTTTCTTTAAGGAGATCTGTATAACATTCTTTTTCTTTCATCTTTTTGTTGTTTGAGGGGCTGTGTTTTACTCTCAGTCATCCAGAAACCTAATATACACTTCTGTACGATATTCTTCTTTTCCTCTCTTTCTTTCCTTTCCCGAGGTATTGCCTTGGGATGTGGGAGGTAGATAGGTATGTGTACAGTACCGTTCAGCCATCAAGTCACTGACAGGTACAGTCAGTTGTGATCGGTACTTTCTAGTCACGGATGGTCCCATGGCCCCAGGATGGGTCCATCTTGGACCATCCATGCACACGTGGAAGTCGACCGGCACCCTTCGCCGCAGTGATGTACAAGTTCCGCGGTATTGGTCAGGTACGAGTAGCCGCAGTATTGCCTCAGTATCGAGGAACAGATTGCGGAAAGGGTTCACACAACTTCACAGATGTCTGCACCCCTGGTTCAGTCCCGTTTTTAAGCCCCGAATCCCAAGTTCCGGGTCCCAGTCTTGGATCCCAGTTATTAGCCCCAAGTCCCATTGTGTTCCATTATTGGTTCCACCCACTTGTATGATATTCACGACTGATCCTGAAGAGTAGGTTTTTTTTTTTTTTTCTGTGCCAGGGTTGGGTACTTTATCTGCCTGCTGCCTTCCTTATTTATTTTTAAGTAAATTAAAAAAAAAAAATGTGTGTACCATGATTATGGATACCTAAGCAGGTTAGTTAAATAGATCATCGTAGGAAGTCACCGCTGGAGTTGGACCATTTCTCTTTTTTTTTTTTTTTTTGAGTTGGACCATTCCTCAACTTACGCGTGTCATCCTTGAAAGCGCAGGGGGCGTTTGCTAATCTTCTCTTTCTTTGTATTGTTCCAATTTAAATGGATGTCCCGAAGGACAAGTCCCTGCTACACAATAGTTCAGTAGTTCTGGGTTAAACCGTTAAAGAGGTTCTTTCTTTTTCCAAGAAGGTATCACAAGCCTCGGCCAAGCTCACAAGGCCGTGACTACTCGTTAGGCCAGGTGTCAGTCAGTGGCGACCAAGCAGCCAGGTGGAAGGAGAAATTCAATCCGTTAGCCTCTCGAAGCAGCAAACATGGAAATGGGAGCTAACCTATAACCTGCAGAAGCTGAGGTGAACCGGCAATTATAAAAGTTCAGCAGTACCTGGACGTCAACACAGTGTGTTGGGCACTCGATGAGGAAGTGCTGCTGCGGTCTTGTGCGTTGGAGAGGCAACCAAGTCAGTGAGAGTGAGCATAGTGCTGCATAGTGAACGGCGCTGGGCGACATAGCCATAGTTTTAGTGTGAGAGAGGAAGACATTGTGAGAGATGAGCAAGGACTGTGATGTGAGAGTGAGAGTAAAGAGAGAGAGAGAGAGAGAGAGAGAGAGAGAGAGA